GGACGTGGCGGGAACCGCGGCGATCTGGGCCCCGAACGGAAGACTCCGGGAGGCCTGGGTCCCGGACACGCGCCCAGCCCACTCCCCCTGGCTTTTCCTCAGCCACCTGGACGGGGTCTGCTCCTCCTCTGTCCCAGGGCCTGCTTCTTTCTCTCCGTAGCCCTCACCATTACTGGTCTGTATGTTATTTGTTGTTTTTCTTTTCTTCTCTTTTTTCTTTGACATAGAGTCTCACTTTGCAGTGCAGGATGGCCTTGAACTCACTATGCAGCCCGGCCCAGCCTTAAACTCACAACAATCCTCCTGCCTCTGCCTTTCCAGTGCTGGAATTGTGGGCATGCACCACCACGCCCAGCTCTTTATTGTTTTTATTAATTACTATTTTATTCGCTTTATTATTATTATTTTAGATACTGGGGATTGATCTCTGGGCCTTCGCTCTGAGCTAAGCCCTTTTTTATTTTTAATTGTGAGACAGAGTCTCGCTAAGTCGTTAAATGATCCAAGCAGGGCTCAAACTTGAAACCCTTCTGCCTCAGCCACTTAGAGGGCTGAGATGACAAGTGTGTGCCACTATGTCTAGTCATTACTTTTTATGTTTGTTTGTTTACATTGTGAGGATGGGGGACTTTGTTATATACATTGATGTTGTCCCATGAATTCAACAAAAATCTGCCAGGGACCTCACGGAACCCTGCACGGTGTTGCACACAGGGTGCCTTTGGAAGCCAGCCCAAGTCTGACCCTAGACATTTTGGGGCTGGGAACGGCAGAGTAAACACAAAGACCACTGTGGGGACTGGGTGTATTGGTGCATATCTGTAATACCAGCATTTGGGAGGCTGAGGCAGGAGGATCCCTGCAAGGATGAGGCCAACCTGGGCTACATAGTGAGTTCAAGTCATAGTATGACCTTGTTGCAAAAAACAAACAAAGGAGATCATTGTGGAGTGAAGGAGGGAAGACCCAAAATAAGAGTTCTGCTGGTCAGTGACCTTAGATCGGGACACCTCGTCACGGTGATCAGGCAAGCCTTCTCTGATTAGGTGATTTGAATGAAAGCCTACAAATAAACTGTGTGACAAGTGCTAGAAGGAAAAGCAGGAAGCTATGAGCGTGTCACTGTGACCCAACCCCAGTGGGAAGGAATCAGGGGTTTGAGGAGTGAAGGTCAAAATCACAGGAACCCGTCCTTGGCCTCACTCATGGGAGCCTGGCCTGGGTGGATGGGTGGAGGAATACGAGGCCTGGGGCGGCTTCCTGGGGCAGTGGTAGTTTCTGAGAGGGAAGAGTACAAATTCTCATCCTTCCAGAACTGTTTCGCAGGCTCCTGGGAACAGTCGCTGGCTGAACTGTGTGGCCAAACAAGAGACCCCGCCTCGCCCCGTGAGCTCTGTTGGTAAGTGCGCCCCCCTCAGGATGAGAGTGACTCCACACCAAGTGCTGCCACTCACTGGCCATGCGACCATGGCAGCAGCCCTCCGCTGCTCCTGGTCTCTGTTTTCCAAGAGTAAAGACAATGGATGATGCTGGGGATTTAGCTCAGTGGTTCTGGCGCTTGCTTTGTAAGTTCAAGGACCTGAGTTCAATCCCTGGTACCAAAAAAAAAAAAAATCGGACGAGGTGCCACATAGGGTCCTTGAGCAACATCAGTGGTATGGTTGGCCCTCACTGGACCTGAGCCGGCGCCGCACTCTTGGTTACAGAGTGGGTCCCCATCTGAGCCCCCACTGGGGAGGCTGACTGCCCCGGCCTGCACTTGTCTGGCTTTGAAGGCTGCAGGTTCTTACTGAAGGTCAATGGTGCCCTACACCAAGGAGCAGCCACTGGAGGCCCAGGAGGGTCATGGAAACCCTGGAGGTTTGTCCTCAGAGAGTTGAGAGGTGCCCAGTTTAGGGGATAGTTGAAGCTTTCAGCCCAGCTGGGATCTATTTTTTTCTCTCTCTTTTTTTTTTTTTTTTTTTTTTTTTTTTTTTTGTTTTTTTTTTTTTTTTTTTTTTTTTTTTTTGAGGCAGGGTCTTGCTATACAGTTCAGGCTGACCTTGAACTTGCTATGTAGCCTAGGCCTCAGACTTGTGGCAATCCTCCTGCCTCAGCCTCCGAAGTGCTGGGATCACAGGTGTGCATTACCATGCCTAGCTGGGTATCTATTTCTATTTTTCTGTTGTTTTTTTTTTTTTGTTTTGTTTTGAAGTACTGGGGATTTAACCCAGGTCCTTCGTATTGGGCTACAGCCCCAGCACTTTGCTTTTATTCCTTTTCCTTTTCCTTTTTTTTTTTTTTTTTTTGAGGCAGGTCTCACTCAGTTGCCCAGGCTGGGTTTAAACTTTTGATCCTCCTGCCTCAGCTTTCCAGAGTGCCAGGACTGTGTGTGTGCACTTTAGCTTATTTCTTTGGATTTTAAAAAGCCACATTGAGAGAGAGGGAGAAAAGGGGAAGGAGACATAAAAGGAATTAAGATGTGTCACGTATACGTACTAACTCCTCACAAGGAATGTAATTATCATGTATGGTAAACATGTACTAATAAAAATTTAAAAACAAGTTAAGAGAAAGCCGCTTTGAGGTCCTGCCAAGCCTCCTGGCAGGAGACGATAACATTATCTTTGCCTGAGTATTCTACTGTTCAGTTTTTAAGGGGGTGGGTGGGTACTGGTGCATGAGCCCGAGGAGTGCTGAGCTTCATCCCCAGTCCTTTCTCTTTTATTTTAAAATTTTGAAACAAGATCTTGCTAAGTTGCCCAGGCTGGGCTCAAACTTTCAATCTTCCTGCCTCAGCTTCCCAGAGTGCTGAGATGGCACGTGTGCTACCATACCCAGCTAATATCCAGTTTTTCATTTGAGTTTTTGTTTTTTTGAGACAGGGTCTCACTGTGTAGCCAAGGCTGGCCTCAGATTTACTATGTAGCCCAGGCTGGCTTCGAACTCATGGTGATCCTCCTGCCTCAGCCTCCCAAGTGCTGGGATTACAGGTGTGTGCCACCATGCCCGGCCTAATGTCCTGTTTTCCGCATGGCCCTCACAACATCCCTTTGAGAGAAAAAGCCAGGGAGACTCACCCATTTCACAGATGCAAACCAGGAGCCCCAGGAACACAGTAGGGGAGTAGAGGCCCTCGGGTTGGGGACCAGGTCTGCCAAAGCCAGCGCCTTTCCCCATTGGAGCTGCCTCCCTCTCTAATCCACTGCCACCTCTCTCACCTCTCAGTTTTTGTGGGAGCCATGAAGCTGAACAAGAGGAGCGTGGCCCACTATGCACTGAGTGACTCCCCAGCAGACTACACGGGCTTCCTGCGCACTTGGGGGGGGCCTGGGGCCCCCCCTACTCCCAGCGGTACTGGCAGAAGATGCTGGTTTGTTCTCAAGGGTAACCTGCTGTTCTCCTTTGAGAGTCGGGAGGGCCGGGCCCCACTGAGCCTGGTGGTGCTTGAGGGCTGCACAGTGGAGCTGGCTGAGGCTCCCATGCCCGAGGAGTTCGCCTTCGCCATCCACTTCGACGTCCCTGGAGTGCGGCCACACCTGCTGGCAGCAGATGGGCAGGTGGCCCAGGAGGCCTGGGTGAAGGCACTCTCCCGGGCCAGCTTTGGCTACATGCGGCTGGTGGTACGAGAGCTGGAGAGCCAGCTGCAGGATGCCCGAAGGAGCCTAGCCATGCATCGCTGCACATCCCAGAAGGCTGGTGCCAGCCGCCAAAAGCAACAGGCACCTGACAGCAGATCTCCAGGCCTGGAAAATAGTCACTTTCTCCCCAGGGACTGCACTCCCCTGGGCACTGTGGAAGGGGGAGGTTGCAGGCTAGTAGGGCAAGATTTGCCTGAGTGGGAGTTGCAGGGTCCCACCAGCCTCCTCCTAGGCAGGGGGCAGAGCCCTGTGTCCCCCGAGACCTCCTGCTTCTCCACCCTGCATGAATGGTATGGCCAAGAAATCTTGAAGCTGAGGCAGGGTTGGCAGCAGAGGGCCCAGGGAAAGCAGTCAGGATGCAGGCGCCAGGATAAACCCTGAGCCTGGGCCCTGTGAATTCTGGTTGTGTCCTGCTGGTCAAGACACCGGGTGCTTGTTCAGGAGTTAAGTGTTTACTCGTTTGCAAGATTACTTTGCCGGGAGTAGGGTGATGGGGTAGGGGCATCTGCTCCCTCTTGTTCTTTCTACCTTCTCGGGGTTCCACTCCTCCCTTGTGCCTGAAGGGGACTGATGAACTATGACTTCCAACTGCTGTTTCCTGAGGCCCAGAGAGGAAAGGTGGCCTGCACAGGACTCTGTGCTGGACATTAACAAAGTGATAACAAAGTGAAGGAACTGCCCTCCTTTTGACCTGCACAGTGGAACCTATGGTCATGGTTTCCAACACAGGGAGTCTTACATTCATTTAACTCTTTTGGCCACAGATTATCTGAGAAAGGGGATTTATGTGTCATAGGAATTCCTGGGCCCAGCTCCTCCTGAGGGGGCAGGAAAGGTGAGCATACACCCCACCCCCCTTCTCTAGTTTGGGTGGAGCCCTTCGTAGGAGAGGGCCTTTTACCCATAAGAGGGATTTATTTCTTCTACTCTTCCTGGGTGCCCTGACAATAGATGGTGCAGGACTTTGTGGGGCTGTTAGCTTGTTGTTGTTTTTTTTTTTTTTTGTACTGGGGATTGAACTCAGGACCTTGTATTTGTGAGGCAGGCAGTTTTCACTGAGCTAAATCCCTAGCCCATACTGTTAATTTTTTTTTTTTTTTTTTGAGTAACCAGAAAACCTTCCCATCCTTTGTCCTCAGCTTCCAGCTCTCGCCACTGCCAAGATGGAGGTTGGGGTGGTGGGGAGGCAGGGAGGTTGGGTGGCTCCCTGGGGAAAAGCAGCTTGTTTCTTTGGCTCTGGGAATTCTAGAAGCTTGGACACAAGATTCCCAGTGTTCTGTGGTAAACCCTTCTCTCCCAGCTGGACTTCCACGAAAGTGTTCTTACTCCTGAAGCTGCAGGTGAAACAAACCACCTGGGAACTCTGGCCCAGTCCTGCTTCTCCCTAGAGTTTACCTGCCGAGAACCCTCACTGCTCCTCCCTAGCACAGTGCCATGTTTTTTCTTCCTATAGTTCTGAGAGGCAAGTGGGCTGGGGCCAGCCTCTTGCTGTATGAGTGTGGTGGCAGTGGCTAGTGGGAAGATGGGAGGCATGCTCAGACTTTCTCTCTTACCCAAACTCAAAATCTCCCCTTTCCGAAGTTCTCTCTCCCTATTGGGTGCTTAGGCAACCAGACCAGGACCCAGGTAGGCCTAAGGCTGAGGCTCAAGAGTCTCTTATCCCTAGGAGGTTGAGAAACCATCCTGGGCCCTGCCCAGGTTCTGTTCTACTCAACTTGTTTCCTTGTCCCGTATGGGACCTATATAGCCCACTGCACTTTATTCTATACACAGATACTGTAGGCTTTATTATGTTTCTTACCGTTACAGTATATAGTTTTAAAAATTATTATTCGTTTATTACAAGCACTGTTTATACAAATGAAGAGGGCCACAGCTATGGACACCAATACCGAGGCTTCTCGGTGGTATAACCTCCACTGGGGCCATTCTTCCACTGGGCTTGTCAGACCTGGACAGGAGGCCTGCAGCCTGCTGGCCGGTACACAGGGCCTACGGGTATAGGCCTTTGTTAACTTTTTTATTGTTACAATGTTTCTTATACGATTCAAACTCTAAAGTTTTGTCATTATTACACATTTCTGTTCCTTAAATTTATTTCAACAGTAACCAGGAGGTCCGGGTGGGAAGCGGAAATGGGCGTCGGCATCGTGTACGTGACGTCATCACGCGGGGCGGGCTACACTCGCCTCTTCCACTGCCACCGGAAGTGCGGGCACTGCGCAAGTGTGAGGATGGGGTTTTCGTGTGCTCCCACACATCGCGAGACTGGGGGCGGTGCCTAAATGACGGCAGCGCCAGCGCCGAGTGGGTGGGTGCGCGTTCCGGGGAGAGGGGCGGAGCTGGGAGATGGCGTCAGGAGGGGCTCGCTGGCTGGCTTTGGCACCTCTCCGATCCGGGACTCTCCGAAGCGGGCCGAAGTTGAGGAAAGGTGGCGATGTCCCCGCCGTACAGGGTGGCTCAGGTCGGAGCCTGGTACCGTCGAGGTCAATCATCGTTAGCCGCAGCGGCGCCATTTTGCCCAAACCGGTGAAAGTGAGTTTTTGCCTGGAGGCGGGGTGAAGGGGCCACGGCCAATCATAGCGGCAGTGAATGCAGACCGACGCTGATTGACAAGAGCAGAGACTAATCATGGGCTCTCCATAGAATGGGGGGGCGGGCCAAAGACATTCTTGCTCTAGAGGGTTAGTAATTTTTACATGTGAGACCAAGGTTAAAAAGCCGGTGTTGAATAGGGTCTCTAGAGGCGGAAGTTGAAGGATAGACCTTGTATTTTGCACTAGTTTATCCTTTGATGTCTGGAGACTCAGCTTTATGCATTGAGTTTAGATAACCACATACAGTCTCTTGAGTGCCGTTCAGTTGACGCGATAATGAATTGGTTGTAAGTAAAGAGAACGTTGGGCAGGTCCTTACATACAAATGTGTGTGTGTGTGTATATATATTTTTTTTCTTTTTTGGTACCAGAGCTCGAACTCCGGGCCTTGTGCTTGCAAGGCAGGCAGCGGAACCACTGAGCTAAATCCCCGGCCCAGGGCCTTATATTTTAAAATTGTGACCTCTAATATTCAATTCATGTGACTTGCACTCCTGAGAAAGCGTGTAGGATTCTTTTTTTTTTTTTTTTTTTTTTTT